TGCTGGAGTTCACCCTGAAGTTCACTTCTTCCCCTTGTTCTTTTTGCACCGCGTTTCTCCTGGTGTTGGGTTTATTTTGTTTTTGTTTGGATTTCTGCTGCTAGGCATGCTCCAGTCTGAAATCTCTCCTCCTATGTTAACACACACACACACACACACACACACACACACACTCTGATCTCTCTCCTATTGACAACCCCAGAGGCTGAACGTCTTTACTAGAGAGAAGTATTTTGTAACATCTCCAAGGAAAGAGTTCCTTCCGCTCTGCACAGTCCTACGGCTGTGAGAGGCAGAACTCTGGGAGCTTCTGGGTGGGGGGCCTCCATGGCCAGCCCTCTCAGGGAGGGGGTGAGGGATGTGCCCTCTCACTGCAGCAGGGTGGGATCCACACACCCTTTGAAGAGGAGTTTGGCAGGTAAAACTCACAAGCATTAAAAATATGTATCACATTTGCTCCAACAAGTTGAGAACGCTGCCAGATGGGATCAAAACATGTTATTGAACAATAAGGATAAACTAGAAGTAACTGCATTGTCCAACAGTAGGGGACTAGTTAAAATATGGTTCAGCTGTGCGTGGAATACTGTGCAGTAGAAAAAAATCAAGGGGTTGAAGATTTGGTAACATGGGAAAAAGTCACAGCATGGGAGTCAAGTGAAAAAAGTTGATTAGAAAAAGCATATGTAGGGCGCTGCCTGTGGCTTAGTGGGTAGGGCGCCGGCCCCATATACTGAGGGTGGCAGGTTCAAACCCGGCTCCAGCCAAACTACAACAAAAAAATAGCCAGGTGTTCTGGTGGGCACCTATAGTCCCAGGTACTCAGGAGGCTGAGGCAAGAGAATCTCCTAAGCCCAGGAGTTGGAGGTTGCTGTGAGCTGTGTGAAGCCATGATACTCTACTGAGGGCAATGAAGTGAGACTCTGTCTCTATAAAAAAAATTAGCATATGTATAGTATAAGCCCTGTTTTTTTTAAAAAAAGCATATTTGAATATTTATATAGATTAAAGATTTAAAAATAAGTCAAGATATTGTTAGTTCACATTTGTAATATGAGTGATTTATTATTTTCCTCCTTATGTTTCTTTGGTTCTTGGGACGTGGGAGTGTAGACTGGAGCCAGGTTACCTGGCTTTTAATACCAGGCTCTGCCACGTACTAGCTGTGTGACTTTGTATAAATTACTTAACTTCTCTGTGCCTCACTTTCACCCTTTATAAAATGGGAGTGAGGATGCTCAGAATAGTATCTGCCTCATGTGTGTGTTAGGAGGATTAAGTGTGTAAATACACATAAGAATAGTGCCTGATCATAGCACACACATTTGGTCTATAGTGTTGGGTGTATGGATGTTACTTTGAGGCCCTGCTTTCAATTTTTTGAGTATAAACCATGAAGTGTAATTGCTGGATCAAATGGTAATTCCATGTTTAATTTTCCAAGGAACCACCATACTGTTTCCTGTTGTGGCTGTACCTTTTTGTTTGGCCGGGGCCAGGTTTGAACCCACCACCTCTGGCATATAGGGCCAGCACCCTATTCCTTTGAGCCACAGGCACCGCCCGTGGTTCTACCTTTTACATCCCTGCCAGCCAGCTGTGCACTCGGCTTCCAACTTCACTGTCAAGATGAAAAGGTGCATGTTTAGCCATAGCTGCACTAATCACCTCTTTTTCATTCTGGAGCGCAGGTCAGTCCATCGTGGGCTGCAAAGCCATCCTTATCGACAGCCAGGTCTTCGTGGTCGTGGCCCAGCTCTTCGGCGGCTCTCACATTTACAGATACGACGAGAACTGGACCAAGTTCGTCAAATTCCAAGACATAGAGGTGTCTCGCATTTCCAAGCCCAACGATATTGAGCTGTTTCAGATCGAGGACGAGACGTTCTTTGTCATCGCAGACAGCTCTAAGGCTGGTCTGTCCACAGTGTATAAATGGAACAGCAAAGGATTCTACTCTTACCAGTCCCTGCACGAGTGGTTCAGGGACACGGATGCAGAGTTTGTTGACATCGATGGAAAATCGCATCTAATCCTGTCCAGCCGCTCCCAGGTCCCCATTATCCTCCAGTGGAATAAGAGCTCTAAGAAGTTTGTCCCCCATGGTGACATCCCCAACATGGAGGACGTCCTGGCCGTGAAGAGCTTCAGAATGCAGAACGCTCTCTATCTGTCCCTCACTCGCTTCATTGGGGACTCCCGGGTCATGAAGTGGAACAGTAAGCAGTTTGTGGAGATCCAGGCTCTGCCATCCCGGGGGGCCATGACCCTGCAGCCCTTTTCCTTTAAAGATAATCACTACCTGGCCCTGGGGAGTGACTACACCTTCTCCCAGATATACCAGTGGGATAGAGAGAAGCAGCTGTTTAAAAAGTTTAAGGAGATTTACGTGCAGGCGCCTCGCTCCTTCACGGCCGTCTCCACCGACAGGAGAGATTTCTTTTTCGCCTCTAGTTTCAAAGGAAAAACAAAGATTTTTGAACATATCATTGTTGACTTAAGTTTGTGAAAGTGTAGTGGGTGGATTGAAAAGGCGTGTAGCCTTAGCCCTCAGAAGGGAGGACCCAGAAGTAAAATAAACAAATAAAAGCCAGGCTCGGCGCTCTGAAATTAAAAATGGACCGGGGAAATAGTTAGGAGTTTTCAAACTTTTAGAACTCTCATTGTAATCAGGGATTGCATTTATTGGCTAACTGCATGACGTCCATGCTCCCATTTAAAAAGACATCTTAAAGCCTGTAATTTCTGAGACCAGAGTATCTAGCGTTTGCTCTTACCATCTAGAAAAGTAATGTGCTTTTTCTTTTCCTCTTTTTTCGTTTTTCTTTTTAATGAGGAAGGAGAAAATTGGATAAGATGGGACAGCTCTTATATAATGAAATAAAAAAAAAACCCAACCAAACAAACTATGGGCCCTTCTCATTCCATTTGAGCAGTCGTTACGGTGAGAACGCTTAAAGCCAAAGTCAGCTGAAAAGATTTGCTGATGATTAGTTATAAAAATCTTATAACACTCAGCAGTGCTATTTTGAGCCATCCTAGTTTCCTGAAAGTAATGGCCAGGCTCCCCGAATCCTCCCTCAGAGCAGAACCTTGGCTGTTTTGTTGGCTCACAGGGAGACTTGACATGGGTATGTTAACAATTTAATGTTTGACATTTCTTCCTCTGCCACAATGAAAATATCCTAGTGACTCAGGTCTAGGCCCAGCACGAGCAGTGGCCCAGGAGTGAGACAAAGGAGGTTTCCCCTCTTTCTTCTGGTTCAAAGCTGACCTTCCTGGTGGCTGGAGCACTGGGGCTTGTTTGATGCTCATCAGGACTCATCTGCTTCTCCGAACCTATCCTTTTGAGTTTGTGGGTAACCAGCAGACAGGCCAAAGACTGAATGGTGCTTTTTACTCCATCCCTTACAGGGATGAAACAGGGATTTCCATCTGATGAGCATTTGGTAGAATTTTTGAAGTGAGATTTTATGGAGTCAAAGGGACTTGCCACAGGTCTCCATGTGCTCCGTGAGCTTTGAAGCCTGCAGTGGGTCTTTGATTTATGCTTGTCCTTGCCCTCTGGACAACTTAATATTTCAAGCAATTGAATACCGACTTCCCCACCTGCCACCCGCCTGCCTCCCTGCTCACATAACAGTCCTGTTTTGTTGAGTTGCTGCTATTTCTGCTGCTAGTGCTGCCCTGTGAAGGTGCTGCTCTCATCAGATCACAGCCCGGGGCACTCGTGCTAGTGACACGCCTCCTCCTCCCAGTACTTCCATAGCAGGGCATGTGTTAGTGATGGGGTCATCCTCTGTGAGCTGGGGACCTCAGGCTGATCAGTAGGGACAGCTGTGTGGCCAGATAAGGGGAACCCTACAAACCAGGTGGGGACCTGGGGGGCCTATTTCAAAATGCACCTCTTTGCTGTGGATGGTAGGGAAGTTGATGGAGTCCAGCTGTCCGGAAGTTCCCTAGTTAGCTAACTCTCTGCAGAGAGTGTAACAAGTGAATGCTCTTACCGATAGTTCTGAAAGAGTAACCCCACATCTTCACTTCTAGCCGTGAAAATAGCACAATCATATTGTACTGAATTGTCATGTTCTCAGTGATTATTTGCCATGTCATGAGTATGTAGATGTTGAGCCACAAATACGAATGTGTCTGTTGTTTCCTGATGTAAGCCGTGCAGGCTGAGGCAATAAACAGCACTCAGAAAATGAGGCACTGCTGTTTCGGGGGCATCCTGGGACCGCGGATGGAAGCTTCCAGCCTAGGAAATCAGGGATTTTAATGAGCTAACTCACCCACGCAGAGTAGTGTTGCTTGAAACTTCGACTAACTACCGAGCAAACAGGAAAAAAGTGGTCTGTTTTCATGTTTAAAGCACAAATCATTCTTCTGCAGTCTTTTGCCTTGTTGGTTTGTTTGAATGGACTGCAAATGCCCAGAGCCCCCACTGGAGGTCCAAATGAAAAAACTCTGCTGCTCTTCCGGCTGCAGAGCTGTTCTTCCTGGTGCCTGGAGCCCCTCAGACAAGACTGGGCAGAAAAACAAATGCTTGGCAGGTGTGTAGGAGACGTTTAGACAACCCCAGCACTTTTGCCAGCCGCCCATAGGGAAGCAACTGGGCATCTTCTCACAGTGCTGCGGCTGCAGAGCATACCAAGGCACTAGCTGGGCCTCT